TAGTCCAATGTCATCGGCTAAATTCGCCACCACAGAACCCTCCTTCATTTCTTCGGGAATAGAGTAACGAGTCACTGCCCCGACACTGCTCCATAATGCGAAAATTACAAAAAAGACAGCACGGTGCCTTTCATCTTTCACAGGACAAAACGCCACCATTGTTTTTGAAAAAAATCGCCGAGCCAAAAACAGATCGATAAAATCTTAAATAAAAGCAGTCGGTGTCACATTTGCTTGGCAGTATGTGACTTATAAATAAAGCTAAGTCGTACTGTTACTCCATGATCTCTTGCAGAAAATGTACTATTCTCACCGAAAACACCCAGTAGCTGGAATCGTAGTGACTGTCATGGCTACCACTTAACTGCAGGAAAAAAATATGCCTATTGCGACATTTATGAGGAAACAGCGACACCGTATGTGAATACCTCAGCTAAAAATGCTACTTCGCTACAAATTCGTATATGGTGAAATAACAATATCAATGGAATTTAATAAAATACTTATATCTAACATCCTTCGGAGACTGAGGCTGTAAAATGTGCAATCTAGAACAGGGGTAGGCTACTCGTTTATTTTTTTCCCGAGATCCAAAATCCATCAGTGACGCAAAGCCAAGGTCCTCTGCCTCACATACGTGTATAAATAAATAAGTTAATTAATTGATATATGAGAGGAAGAGTGATTGATAGTGTCATATCACATGACCTGGCCACCTGACATGAACCCATTACAAATGGTTTTGGAGGAGTTTGACTAGACAGTGATGGAAATGGAGCCAACGAGTGCTTGACATATATGTGGGACCCCCTTCAGGACAGCTGGAAAAGCATCTGAGGAGGCCACCTCATGGAACTGGCGTAGAGGAGACAGTAGGGTCAGCCAGTCCCTGGAGCAACTGGGGTTAAGGATCTTGCTCAAGGGTCCAATGGCGGGACCACATGATTCAAACCAGCAACCTTCTGAGTCCAAACCCTCGGAGTTGAATCTTCCCCAACAAATTATTATGTTTTGTGTTTAATCCTCATTTGGAGAGTGCAAAAGTCCATATACATTATTTTATGGTTTTTATTTCTTCATAATGATTCTGAAATGTAGAGATTACTACAAACAAACCTTTCTATAGGTAAGTGTGTCCATACTTTTGACTGGTACTGTATGTATGTATGTGTATGTATATACAGTAATTATTATTTTTTTTGGTGGGGGGTGGAGGCCCCCCTCAGTAGATTTTGCTGACTTATTCATTCATAGTGTACGAAACTGACCTACAAATCATTAAATTGTGTTTCCATGTTTCCATTCATTCCACTAACAAATGTACAAATAGGTGAATGAAGATAGTTAATGACAGGGGCGTTGCTAGAGATTTTGGGCCCCATGAAAGCATATCATATTAGGCCCCCCAGTCCAAACCAATCCAGTTATTTTCCTGATTTTTTAGAGCCCCTGTCACTCAGGGGCCCTTGGAATCGTCCTAGCTTTCCTCCCCCTTACGGCGCCCCTGGTTAATGATGTCATCCAAACAAAAATTGATCTCAAAATGCATGGTGACGAATATAAAAATATATAAGAAACCCAAAGTGAAAGTAAAATACAGTAGTGCATCAGAATAGGATTTTTTTCATTTTCATATTCTAGTAGTTCAAATGTGGGCCACAATTAGATTTAAGCTGAAATTGATACATATTTGTCTTTTGTACATCAATATATATGAAAAATACTTTAAGAATTGGTGATGATTTTCCTCAAATGCTATACCTACTGCTATGTTTATCATTGTTTGATCCTTTATAGGATAGGAAGAGGTACAAATAAGATCATATTGAAACTTTCAAAGATATTTTTGGCTTTTAAAAATGTAGAAATCGATGGTACGACATGATAATTCAACAGACAAAGGCAATAACTGAGAGTGAAGATGAAATTCTGTTTTAATTGTTCAATCAGAATAATAAAATTATGGAAAAGCAAAGCAGAAAAAAGATTTTGCAAACTATTTTCCTTGAGAAAAACTGTGAAATTACTCAGTGGACATAAACATCAATTGTACAATACTATGTAAGCCATGAAGTATAAGAGGTCAAGGAAAAGGATTTTTTTCAAATTAAAAAAGTTGTTTTTAGTCTCACCTGCAGTGTGGATGCAGCAGATTCACTGGTTTCTGTCAGGCC